AACAGACCGACACGTGGCTTCGGAATTCTCAGATTCTTCGGCAGTAATCAGGGACGCTCCATCCTAAACAGGTGAGAAGACATACCTGTTCCTGTTTTGACGGGCAAAGTGTCAGAATTCGTTGAAGTTCAACCAGGACCGATCAAATCAAACTGCCCTGAGTCTGAAGGTGCCGAATCAAGGATAGTGAATGAATGTTTGTTGGTGGCAAATACCGAACTGATCAGATGCATTATTGTATCTATGTGACAGGCGGAGAGAGACGGAGGTAAGAGACAAACCAAAGTCTCCCGAAAGCTAAGACGAAGTGTATGTAGCGCTTGGCTTCACTGTGGCTACGGCGGCAGACGAAAGACCAGTGTCTAATTACTGTGTCTAAAAATGTTGGCAGCGGACAGCAAGAAGCCAAATAAATGAAGGCGTCCCTTAAAGACATGACACCCCGATCACGCTGATAAGCCGCTCGAGTATTTTTCAGCGAAAACGTACCGAATATTGCCAACAATCATCCCGCTTTGTGACTGCTACTCGTAGCCATTAATCCAGACATCATCTTTGATTTTTTTAAAATCAGCACATATTATTTTATGTACAGTATTTTTGTTTTGCTGGTTGAAGTTGTTTTAATATTGTGCTCCTGAGATAATGTTGGAGATTAGTTTGAATGCATGATTAGTTATTGATTTTATGTGATTTTATTTTTCAGTATCGTATGGTCTGACATGGTCATTAAAAAAATATTTATATTTAATTAAGGATTCAATTTTAGTTTTGAATTTCAGATGCACTTTAAATCTTTTCTGTTCCAGTTACTAAAGCAATTCTTTGTTGTAAGTCGGTCCATATTTCTTTCTTTTTTATTCTCTTATACGTTAATAAATATACAGTGTTATGAAAAGGTGTACTTATAACAATTTTATAGGCAAATGATACTATTTATAGTCATGCACAGTGAAGCTGCGGGAATGAATGAGAAGAGAGTCGCGTCGTAACCAGTCTTAAAAAGCTGATTCAGAACAAAAGTTGAGCGCGTTGTAGCGCATATTTAGCCAATGACATGTACACACATATATTTGATCACTTATTTTTGGAAATTTTAGGGGAAGCTGAGCTTCCTTTGCAGTCTCAGAGCAATCGCCTCTGGCGTGTAGATAAGCGCGACTCTTGGCGCGACTCATGACGTCATGTTTGTTTCGTTTTCTAGTTTGCCCGGTGAAGAGAGTTTGTACGGCATCTAATGGGATTAAAAGGGAACTTCTTACCACCAGTTAAACTTAATTTTTCCAACCGGTGCTAGATGTAGTATGTGTAATATTGATTAATAGAAAATGGATGAGGAAAGGTGTAGAGACACATAGTTTTGGATGCTTATAGAGGGTGAAAGACAAGTGAAAACAATGATGGTGACGAGACGTAATTTGAAAAGGGAAGTTTAGCATGTTGAAGAAAAAAAAAGCATGCCTGAGAGGTTTGTCACGGTGATGCTGCAAAAGAGGTGGTCATCATGTGTTTCAGTCGATATGAGCCAGACGGTCTTTCTAGTCCGCGATGATAACGTGTGCTTTATCTTACGTGTGCTTTATGGAACTTTCCTGTACGACTGAGAGCCTCCACGAGCAACGTGTGCTTTACTAATCTTTGGGTGTGTGTAGATTAGCGCGACTCTTGGCATGACTCATGGCATCATGTTTATTTTATCTTCTAGCTTTTGCGGTGTAAGGGGTTTGTCCGGCATCTAGTGTAATTATAAGGAGACATCCTACCACCAGTTAGGCTTCATTTTTCAACCAGTTGAAGAGGGAATTTCGGTATGTTGAAAAAAAAAAAAAAGAGGAACAGGCAGGTGAGGTTGGACACAGTGATGCTGCGAAAAAGGAGGACATCATGTGTTTCAGGAGAAAAGAGCCAAAAGGTCACGGGATGTTTAGAAAGTTGTTTGTAAGTCGCAGGTACACTTTTTGACTGAATAAATGTAAATACCGGTATGTATTATTACTTGTACACCAGTGGCGGATGCTGGTCTGTCAAGGAGGGGAAGCTCAATCATAATAATAATACATTTTAATTGCGGCCTACATCATAAAATGTGTCTGTTTATTTATACGTGAATTCTACTCTCCGTTCCTTTTCAAGAAAATGATCTGCAGTTCTCGCAAGCATTTATTCACACGAGGACTCCACAGACAAAAACACTGCTTCAGAGTGCGAAGACTGCCTTCTTGACCCAGTTACAACTTTGGATGAAGAGTCAGCATATGATCTCACACCTGAAGAACTTTCATCAAAAGTTGATCAGACATTGTTCTGTTGTGATGGAGGCAGCTGCACAATCAACGGGTACAGGTTGATCGTCTGTAAAATAAACCATATCACATACCTACATGTATATACATGTTTTACCTGTGGGCTTTTTTGTTTTGTTCTTACCAAATGAGTGGACATTATTTTTTTCAGACGATTTACCAGTTACTTATAAATGAAGGCTCACTAAATTTTTTGATTCCTCTGATTCCCGTGGTGTCTTGAATTCATGACTAATGTAGGGAAGAGGATTAGGGCCAATGAAGAGGAAAAAAAAAACAAGGTTGGCAAGATTCTCACTTTAATCTCAGAATTCAGATTTTGAAGTGAGCAATCAGAATTCTGTGAATAAATTCTGAGATTAAAGTCTCAGAATTCTGATTTCAAAGTCAGAATTTTCACTTTCAAGTGGTGAACCTTTTTCCTTAATTATCTCAGATATGGCTGGGTCTTATGCTCTGGTCAACACGTACACGCCGTCTCCGGTCCCTCCCCATTTCACAGAAATGAAACTGAAGGAATAAACAAGCAACTAATTATGTGCATGGCAAAGACAGCCGATGTAGCATCCGACGTCGCACTGAGTGTTTCTCAGGAACTTTTATAGCATAGTAGTCAGACTTTGTTTCCCTCCCATCTGTTTGCATGTTTGCACTGAGGATTGAGAGGAAGAAATTTCATCTATGCGCCATGTCACACATGAAGCATATTTGACAATAAAGATGACCTTGACCTTGAAAGCTGCAGACGAGCCCTCCAAAAACAAATAAGATTACACAACTGATGTGAAACAAACAAACGCTCACAAAGCCATATCCAATCTAAATCTGAAGAGTCCCTTTCGAAAGAAGCATCGTGGCAATAAATGAAAACTTAAAACACACTTCGGTATTCTCTACCTCGAAATAATAATAATAATAATAATAATAATACATTTTATTGATAAGCACCTTTCAAGATACCCAAGGACACTTTACAATAACAAAACAATAAAACACAATACGGGTTGAGCAGCGGCAGCCAAACGCGCCAGCGTTCACTCAACCCTGAAGTCAGAAAGAAACCACAATGTTCATTCCTCACGTATACTGTACTGTACCTCACACTAATTAGCATATAGATAGCCTATATCTAATGTAACCATAAGATGAGGAAGGCCAATTTTGGGGCACGAGTCCACAAAAATGTCCACCCAATATTGTGTCCATGAGTGAAACTAGTGTTGAGGTGATCCCCCCCCCCCCCCCCGTTTTCCAGATGATACGTTAAACGGGCGATTACAGTTAATATAAAGTTCAGGAAAAAAACAATAACTGGGCAAACGTTTAATACGATATGTAATGAGTGTTGTGGGAAAGTGGCTTTCTTTCCCCCGCGTGTTGGTTGGATTTCGGACGAGGAGGATGTTGGTATACAGGCTGGAGTCGATGAACAGTTTCTTCGAAGTTTTTAATAACAGAAATATTCCGGGCACCCGCGGTTTACAGATAATGGCTGCGGTGGTCACGAGTGCAAAGAAGGAAGGGATTCACATCATATTTATATTATCAGAAGGGCGGTACCGAAACACAAGATGTGACATCAGAACTTTCTTTCTACGAAACCTTTTCTTATCTTGTGCCGAAAACGCCGCGGGGGGCAAAACGAGGAGGGTGTCTGGCACGAATAACGCGGGAGTTCCTTATCAAAGCGGGCGTGACAAGGTCCGACATCAGAACTTTCGTTTCTACTAAATCGTTTCTTATCAATTTTAAGTGATGATTGCTTCAAGGACGACAAGCTACGCTGCGGATTGTTGTTGTTTTTGTTGTTGTTGTTGAGCAACCTCCAACTGGGTCCCAAAGCGGCTCCTAAAGCCACAGCGACCCGGGTACCTGCAGACCCAGTTGCCGGCTGTTGACTGGGAACTGTTCATAGCCTGAAGGTACGCCCAACATCGCGTGGAGGTCGTTCCCGAGTTGGGCCTACACTGCGGACGAGAAAGTTATACAGCATGACTGAATATGAGCAGAATACACACTTCATGAGTATTTCACAACAAATGTGACTATCGTTTCACCCTCTTCTAAAACTGTTGTAATTTTACCTTGCGGTACGTCATCATGCAGCGACAATGATGATTCATTGAATACATTTCAGAATTTGTAGTGGACAAAGTGAGGTTTTTAAAAGGGATTAACGGCTTGAATAAGTTTACTTGTTGTTTAAGCAACAGTTCTACGCCTCACAAAGTACACTTTTCTGGGCATTCCGACTGAACAAAGGGTTAGGTTTGTTAACGCGCGTCTCGAATTACTCTTATTTGTTTTATTTATGGATTATATTTATGTATTATGAAATTTTTACGTAAATATTAGCTGTGTGTGTTCAATGCACTACATGTTTGCACTGTGGTTGAGAGAGGAAAGTAATTTCATCTGTGTTGTATGTTACACATAGAGCATATTTGACAATAAAAGCTGACTTAACTTGATATGTATTATTATTATTATTATTATAATTAATTAAAACACAAGTTTCTTGTTAATTTTGGAAAACACGACAGTACACGAAACACTACGTAAAACACACCGCATTGAAATTATCGAAAAGGACGTTATGTTTTCCCACGTTGCTCGAGCGCTCTCTTGTGGTAACAGAGTGGCATAATTTCAGCACATGTTCTGGCCGATAAACCCCGCCCTCTTCAGTTCTTACACTGAGGTGCGTCATCACACGGGGACAAAGATTCTGCAACAAAAACAACAATTTTGTTCGGTTGAGATCTTGTTTTCAGTTTTATTGATTTATTTTTAGCACTAAGTTATATTTAATTATTCAATCAATATCCCACACCGCTTTGTCAATCAAATAAAGAAGCGGACGTTTTTATTTGTTAAAAAAATCTCTAAGTAATCTCGCTGCTCGGTAACGCGTGTGTCCGGAGTAGCGTCGCAGACTCTCAACCATGCTCAAACGATTTGAAGTCCGATTTCCGGCGGATTGCGAAACCCTCCCTGATGGTTTCTGGTCAGCCGTGGACGTGTGGATAAAGAAACCTCACGTCGTCAACAAGCGCCTGTGCGGCGTCCAGGAGACCGAGGTTGTGGAGGGCGATGAAGAAGAAGCACTGCGGTTGCTGCCGCAGGATGTTGTGGCTTGGCTCAGCGGCAGCGGCAGCCACGGCACTCACCGAACATCTCTCTCCTCTCATGTCAGGACGTTTATCCCCAAAATCGACATATATGGCACAGGCAAACAGAAAGAGCTTGTTGTTAAAGGTAAAAGATGGAGTCGGAGGCAAGGCGAAACAACGACCACTTGTCTTCTTGCCTTGCTGTGGTTTTTGTTCTTATCTTCTTGTTTTTCGTCAACATGTTCTGTTGACCTCCCCTTGGTGACGTCTGGTCTTGTTGACTTCGTGTTCTAAACTTGTTCTCCCTTATCTTGTCGTTGTCACCTTTTTGTTGACTTCTTGAGGTGTTCCTGTTGATTTTTCGTCTTATATTCTTGTCTACTTCTCGTTTTCCAATTTACTTTTTGTTGTCATCTAGTACTGACTTCTTGTATCCTTGTCTTGTAGTTCTTGTTGTCCTCTTTTCTTCTTCACAGTTTTATTGTGTTGCTATACTGTCGACCACTTGATTTCTTGTCGCCTTGTCTTGCTGTAGTCTTGTTTTGTTCCCTTCTTGCCATCTTATTGATATCTTGTTGACTTCCTGGCGTCATCTCCTCTTTGCCGTAGACTCGGACGCACAGCAGGTGACGTTTGTTCCCTTCGAGGAGTCCGAAGCGAGACAGGTGTCTGTGAAGAAGGACAACGTTTACAGCATCAAGCTGTGCCTGGTGGACTCCGGCCAATGGTCAGTGGCCATGTTTTCACCACACTCAACTGCAGAGGGTATCGGGCATCTATGAGGCAGGAGGCCCTTCATAAGAGTCAGACTGTCATGTTCAGGCGCTTTGTGATGAAATTAGGATTTTGCCACACTTTTTTAAATAACTGTATTCTCATTTTTTTAAAATATTTAAAATGTGACACAATTTTTCTGACTTATCGACATTTTACTACTTCTTTGTCAAATTCTAACAGTGCTGTCATACAATTTATCCTCTGTCTTTGCACATATTATGACTTTTAAAAGACAAATAAGGGCCTACCCCCACAGTAGTAGCTAAATGTTGCTGAAGATGATGCCTGTTAGGGCGTTGGAGCTGCACGTGCGGACGGCGGAGGCGTGGTACTCGGACGGCGTGGCCTACCCCAAGCTGACCTGGCTGGCGGGGAACCTGCTGCCCAAACTGCTGGGCTGGGCCGTTGCGTCCAAGAGCGGCCATTTCCCCAACACCTTGTCGCTGCTGCCAGTCGAGAAGTACAGCCTGACGTACCAAAGGCTCAAGGACAAGTACAAGGCCATGGTCAAGGTGAAGAGTTTAACCCTTTCATGCACCAATAATGATAACATGTAACCTGATAACATGATCATCTGTCCAATGTAGTGACCGCTGTCCCTGAAAGGGTTAAAAAAAAAGACAACATAAGAATAAAATCATTAAAATTCAACAATATTATAATGTTCTAACAAAAAAAACAAAAGGATCTTGTTTTACAACTTTTTTCCGGTGGTTTGGCAATTTTAGGTGTGGCCCGAGGTGACGGATCCGGAGAAATTTGTTTATGAAGATGTCGCCATCGCGACGTATCTCCTGGTGGGTGCGTCCATTCATTTCCACAGATCGGACTTGAGCTTTTTTTTTTTTATTTTTTTAACAAAACGGTCACCACTGCTGTCGCAGGTGCTTTGGTCCGAGGAGCGGGCGGAACACAACGTGGACGTCCGCCAGTCCTTCGTGGACTTGGGCTGCGGTAACGGACTCCTGGTGCACATCCTCGCCAACGAAGGGGTGAATATATATATAGTGTAGCATTTATTTATTAATTTAAGTCGATGACTTGTTCTTAAAAAGTGCTTTTAAAAAAATTTTTTTTGCATGGATTGTTCCTTTTTTCTGTTATATTTCACCCCAATTACAAATTGCTCTTGTGATGTTTCATTCCATATACAAACTTTATTTGTCCACTTTTTTTTTATATAATTTCAAAAATGTATTCCTGTTCATTTTTTTTTTTTTTTATTACTGTTACATTCTCCTCCAATTGAGATTATTTTTCTTGTATAACATTTAGTATTTATTCCGTAAAATCTGAGGTTTCTCCTTCTTTCCCCTTGGCTTATTGGCTTTTTTGTACTGCGTATAATGACCAATTTGTTGAAATGGATTGGCTTTTTTTCTTGTAATAGTCCACCTTTTATTCGGACTAAATTACAACTTTACCTTTGTGAGATAAGGGACTTTTTTTTTTTTTTTACGTTAATTAGTATTATTTTTTTTTGGTAACTTTTGACTTTTTTCGCAATTTTGACGTTTTTCTTTTAACTGAAGTTCCGATGTATTTTTTATTTTTTTTTGTCATGTTATGACTTTATTCTCGTGCAATGTAGACTTTTTCTTAACAATGTTAGAAATCTTTATTCGACTTTTTGGACTTTTTTTCCTGTAATTCTCTGACTTTTGTCCTGTAAAATTAGGATTCCAGGTATAATGCATTTTGGTTCATATTACAGCTTTATTCTGGTCAAATCACGTCACCCTGACAACATTGCAACTTTATTCTATTATAATTGTGACAGATATATATTTGTTTGGTTTGTTTTTGCTATTGCAGCACCCTGGAAAGGGGATTGATGTCCGTAAGCGGAAGATCTGGGACATGTACGGCCCCGACACTGTGCTGCAGGTGAGCAAGAAGAAGTTGACTTTGCAATGTGATTGATTGCATATCATAATGATCATATCCATCATAAAAGCATGTTCCCAACCTATTAAGGATTTCAGTTTGGCAGCGGGAAGCACTGGACAGAGCAGCCTGATGTTTTCCCGAAGTTCCATTTCCTGCTGGTTTTTTTTTTTTAGGAGGAAGCCATCACCCCCGGCGAGAACTTCTTGTTCCCGGAGACGGACTGGTTGATCGGGAACCACTCGGACGAGCTGACGCCGTGGATCCCCATCATGGCAGCCAGGCGAGTCGTTGATTTTCGACTTTGTTTCTGTGCGATGGGACTTCTGGATGAAGGTTCGACAGCATTGGTGTGCTTTTGCAGGTCATCGTGCACATGTCGCTACTTCGTCCTCCCTTGTTGCTTCTTCGACTTTTTCGGAAAGTACCGCCGGCGGGACAGCCAAAAGTCTCAGTACAAGGAATACATCGACTTCATTGACGAAGTGAGCCGAGTCAGCGGCTTCCACACGCTACAGGACTGCCTCAGGATTCCCTCCACCAAACGGGTATGCTGCAAAACCTAAAAAGTGCCAAATATGGCATGGAGACATTTTTTTATTTTTACTATATACATAGATTTTTTTTCTCTTTTAATTTCGGCCGGACTGACAATCAAGTCAAATGTTTTTGTCCTGAATGGCTTTTAATTGTTTTGCGTGCAGGTATGCTTGCTGGGAAAGAGACGCACGTACGAGGCGAGCGAGGAGGCTTGGGCAGAGGATCGGCGAGCCGGTTTCATCCGAAGCCGTCACGTCGCATCCGAAGGCGACGGCGGGGATCCCGGGGGTCCCTGGGAAATGGGTTTCCGGCCTCGCGAGCGAATGGAAACGGTGCGCAACTGCATGGCGCTTTCTCGGGATCTGGTGGACGGCGTCGTGCTACGCGTGGCCGAGGCCCTTCTGGGAATGTCCGAGGAGCGCCCGTCCTCCGGTGACTGGAAGCGAGGAGGTAAACAAACATCAAGGGCAGTCCGTGTATGAAAAAGCCAGACATATTAACGCGCTTAAATTGTCAGCCTGGAGTGGCATTGTTTCTCTGTTTTAGCACTGCGACTTTATTGTCCTGACATTTTGACACTTCGGAGGTGAAAATGGAACTTAATGGAACTTTTTCCACATGGAATGTCTTTAATTTGGTGCAAATGTCGACTTTGTGTTTGTTGCCTGTCAGAGATTTACCTGGACAAGTTTAAACAAACGACTCAACTCAGGGAAGATTGTCTTTGCAGTCGAGGGAAGCATGGTCTCCCAGAACAACCGATTGCTCCGCCGATCGCACGCAAAGATCCTCATGCTCCTCGTCGAATTTTTATTGATTAGATATTCTAATTGTAAGAAAAACACTGCCCCCTACATTTGCGTACCACCTTCGATCGGAGATTTGATTAACTTTTGTCAAGCTTTGAACCACAGATACTCTGACACCTTCATGTCTGGCCTCCCACAAACAAAAGTTGCAGACGTTGCAGATGGCAAATGTTTTCTTGGGCCGCGGCCAGTTCCCAAACCATCTTTTGATATTCTAAAACACTTCGTTCCTAAACTGTTTACTCCCACTCTCAAGCCGAGTCTAGCGTTCTTCCCTCTGTTCTCCCCCTTGCGGTAAAACGATTACCTGCGGACTTCAAAGAGCCCTCCGCCCGAGACGGCCTGACACCCTTGCGCACAGACATTTGGGGGCGCTCAATACACACCAACGTCTAGACAGGCCCGAAATTAAATAAAACTTTAAACATGATATCATTGTGTTCGTTGATTTCTCTATCATTGCCAAATGGTAAACGGGCTTCCACAAATATAGCGCTTTTCGACTTCGGGTCCTGAAAGCGCTGTACACTATTGCCTCATTCATCCAATAGATGACGCAGCATCGGAGGGTTCAACATCTTGCTCAAGGACACTTTGACACGGTGGCAAATGGCCGGGGATCAAACCACCAACCTCTGCGTTGGCAAACGACCACTTTACCCACTGAGCCATGCGTTTTGGTTTCAGGGAGCTTGTGTGTGGGCGGGGTGGCGGCGCTTTTGCCTCAGGACACGCTCAAGCAGCTCAAGAACGAATGCGGTGGCCTGCAGACGCTATTAAAGAATAACCATCAAGTTTTTCAAGGTACGCTCAGCACACGTCACGTTTGTCACATGCCGGTGAAATCTTTTAATTTATCCTGATTGCACTTGAGAGTTCTTTCACAAGTCGTGTGGAATTGCAGCGGGAGCTCCAATTTGTCTTTCAGTGGAAGGCGGAACAGTGCGCATCCGAGACTGGCGGGACGCAAGGCCCCAGAGGACGCATGGTAAGAGGAAGGCGGCTTTGTCGCCCGGCGCCCTGAAAACCCGGCCGTGCTGGTTTGACCGCCACCACCCTCAAGGCTGCCCCCTACTGGCCGAAAAGTGCACTTTTGCTCATGGACTTGAGGAGTTGCGAGCGTCCACCAGACCTGAGAGGAACAAGGCAAATAAGCACCTTTGAGCTTTGCATCATTCAAATGCGGTTTGACTTTTTCTCGCCTTACCACCAAGTGTTTTGCCTTCGGCTTTCAACGATTTTGCTTGGAATGCCCTTTTATTCTCAGAAGTTTTGAGTCAGTTTTTTTTTGGTTTGTTTTTTTGAGAAAGTACAATTGAATCCTGGCAGTTTTTCTTGCAAAATGAAGACTCAAGAAAATATACGTCTCGATTTGTCTTCAATTCCACCATTTGTTCTGATAATGTTCTGGCTTTGTGACGTCGAATTACTTCCTCCCACTTTCTCTTTTTTTTTTTGCAAAGTTCTGATTTTTTTTCTTATGATTCTCCAACTTAATTCTGGTGACGTTTTAACTTTTGTCACAAAGAAGGACAATTTCATTCTGGTAAAACTGACTTTTTTTCTGGTAACATTACATTTTTTTTTTCTTGGTGAGGTACAGTACGTATTTCTTTTTTTAAAATGGTAACTTCAGAAGTCATAATTTTGCAAACTCAGGTGAATCTGTTGTATGTATGAAGTTTTTGCCAACCGCATTTTTCATAGGGGGTCTCATTTGAAAGCTGGCGTAGTGTAGAGTGTGAATTTGGTGAGAAACTCAATGTCTTAAAACCCTTTTGTATTTTTTTTTTTTAATTGTAGACCAGGGATGGGCGACCTTCAGCGCATAGGCGCCCCCCTCCCCACACACACCATTTTTGTATTTTTATTTTTTTACGAACTGCGAACTGCAAAAAAGCATAAAAGTGCAGACAAACATACAATATACGTTTTCTACAGACCGCGTTGCAAAATGGGGAGCAAAATCCTGCAAAAACAGTAAACCCCCCCCAAACACACACACACACACACACACACACACACACACACACAAATA